CAGGGGGATCCCTGAGGGATGGGGGTGTGTGTCAGTATTTACAGGGGGATCCCTGAGGGATGGGGGTGTGTGTCAGTATTTACAGGGGTCCCCGAGGGGTGAGGGGAGTGTGTCAGTATTTACAGGAGGTCCCCGAGAGAGGGGGGAGTGTGTCAGTATTTACAGGGGCCCCTGAGGGGTGAGGGGAGTGTGTCAGTATTTACAGGGGGTCCCTGAGAGAGGGGGGAGTGTGTCAGTATTTACAGGGATTTCCCAAAGGAATTTACGGAGGGGAATTCCTGAAATTGTATCTACAATTACATTATTAAAATTGTGTGTGGTGTGGTGCGTACTTGGATATTGACAAGCTCTGAAGCTTATGACGCTTTTGGGCTGGTTCTTATCTTAACAGTGGTATAAATGAAAGCGAAAATAAACAGGGACTTTCACAGTTCGAGTGCCTGTGTAGCAAAGGAGCAGTTGTGGCAATTGCTGAACATTGCTGGGCTGGTCCCAAGAAATGGAGGATAATTTCACCTGTAAATCTCAAGATGAGGCAGGTAGGTGGTTTATGTCCTGTTTCCTGATCTTTGCTCTGTCATTTCCAGACAACAGCAGCTGGGGAAGTTGAGCCTGGAACAGAAATCTGTTTCAGCTACAAACTCAAACCATTTGCAACCGCGCCCCTGTATTGAGTCTTGACGGTGTACTTAACAAGAAGGATTGTGAAGTTTGACACTTTCTTCATTTTTCTGCTCTGACAGTCTGATGTTTTGGTTTATTTTTCTGTGTTTTAAGATGGCGCTGGAGAGTTCAAAACTACACAACACTTTTCACTGTGTTTTGTAATGAGGGATACGTAACAATATATAAATAAATCAAATGAAATAAGTCTGGGAAAGTATATTGGGGGTGTTGCTCCGCAGTGACCAATACTGCCTCAGATTGTCTCAGCAGCCCCAGGATTTCAGCTCCTGAACCCACCTGATCTCCCAACCCCCACTTTGGGAAACTTTGGCTATTGGGGATGTGCCCTTATCTGTTGCCCCAGAATGTTCTTTTCTTTTGGATAGGCAGTTGATCTGAGGGCATGTTGGTGAGAATGGGCATCAGCCAGGGTTTATTCATGGTGATCCTTCCTGAAAATGGAGGCATGGAGCTGAGGGGAATCGGGGGTGAGCTTGTGATATCCCCCATGGCTGTATAGTGCACCCAGACTCACGATGGGCAGGGCATAGACCTGTCAATGTTCTACTTCTAATTCCATGTGCGTGCGTGTGTGTATGTGTGGGTATGTGTGTATGTATGTCTGTGTATAATTGTGTATTTGTGTGTATGGGCACCTGTGTGTATGTGCATGTGTGTGTATGAGTGTGTGATGTGTGTGTCTATATGTGTGATGCATGTGTCTATATGTATGTGTGTGTGTTTGTGTATGTGTGCGAGTGTGTGTATATGTGTGTGTGCATGTGTGCGTGTTTGTGTGTATGTTAGCTGTGCTGCATAGTTCTATTCCTTGCTCGCCAAGCTGGCTCGTTCTCATTCAGACGTTTCGTCACCATGCTAGGTAACATCATCAATGAGGCCTCCGACGAAGCGATATTGTTTTACTCCGCTTGGAATTTATACTGTCCAGTCCGTTATGGTGAGTAGTGTCATTTCCAGTTTTGTTCTGTATGGGTTTGTATAATGGGCCCAATTCTACGTGCTTATCGATTGCATTACGGGTGAAGAACAATGCCTCTAGGAATTCCTGTGTGTGTCTATGTTTGGCTTGGGCTAAATAGGTTACATTGTCCCAGTTAAACTGATGGCTTTCATTGCCGGAGTGTACTGATATTAAGGAGAGTTCATCGTGCCATTTTGCTGCTAGTTAATGTTCATGTATTCTGATGGCTAGTTTCCTTCCTGTCTGTTTGATGTAATGTTTGTGGCAGTCATTGCATGGTATTTTGTAAACCAAGTTGGTTCTGCGTGTTGTGGGAATGGGGTCTTTAATCCTTGTGAGTGTTTGTCGTAGAGTGGCTATGAGCTTGTGGGGTACCATGATTCCTAATGGTCTTTGGAGGCTTGTTGTCAGTTCTGGTATGTTCTTGATGTAGGGCAGTGTGGCCAGTGTGTTAAGGCGTACTGTGTCCTCCTGTTGTTGTCTGTTTAGTAGGCATCTGCGGATGAAGTTGCAGGGATATCCGTTCAGAGCAAAAATTTTGTATACCTCCTCTTTCCTGTGTAGTTCTGGAGTGTTGCAGTGTGTCCTGGACCATTTAAATAGTGTCCTAATGCAGCTTTGTCTGTGGACGCTGTGAAAGATGAAGATTTGCTCAGTGTGGGTTGCTTTTCTGGAAACTGTGGTTTTCAACTCCCCGTTGTTCATTGGCTCGCCTCCAGAAACGGAAGTTGATTGTTGTTTTCTTCTTGTGAATTTAATCCCTGCAAATATGTTGTTGATGAGGTGGTGGGTCTCTTCTAATTTTTGTTGCATTTAATAATGACAAATGTGTCGTCTACGTACCAGATCCACAGTTTAGGTTGAATATGGGGGAGGGTGGCGTGTTCTAGTCTTTGCATGACTGCCTCTGCGTTGAGTCCTGAGATGGGTGACCCCATGGGTGTGCTGTTAATCTGTTTATATACTTGACCATTAAAGACGAAGTGTCTGGTGAGGCACAAGTCTAGTAGTTTGAGTGTGTTGTCCTTGCTGATGGAGTTGCTAGTCTGCATTGCTGCTTCCTCTGTGGTCACTGTTTCTTTGGCTTGTGGGATGTTGATTGATGTGAATAAAGCTGTGACATCAAAGGATACCGTAATCTCGTTGTTGTTAATTTTTATGTTCTTGAGGGTATTGAGGAATTCTTGGATTGAGTGGATGGAATGAGGTGATCCGTCGGCTAGGTGTTTCAGTCTCTGCTGTAGGTCCCTGGCCAGTTTGTGTGATGGTAGGAAAACAATGGGTCTGAGAGGGGTCTGGTTTATATACTTTAGGCAGTCCATAGAAGCAGGGGGTGTTTGTGCCTTCTGGTTTCATTCTCATGAAGTCCGTTTTGGTTATCTGCCCTGCATTCATCAGTCACTTCAGTGCCTGGGTGATCTTATTACCTAACTGCGATGTTGTGTCTATCGCCACCGATCGGTAAGTGGTCATATCTGCGAGCAATGCCTGCACTTTCTTAACACAGTCTGGTTTGTTCATAATGACGGTCATGCGCCTTTTGTCTGCTGCTAGGACTATAATGTTCTTGTCTTTCTTAAGTTTGTCTAGTGCTTTTCTCTCTGATGTGTTCAGGATGTCCCCTTCGTTCCTTCTGTGCAGTATGATGATTATTGTTTGTCAGATGGCTTGCTGTGTTTCATCCGTGAGTCTGTTGTCTTTTAATGTAGTCTCCAGGGCGGCCATGAAGTCTGTTTTGTTTGCATCTTTGTGGTTATAGTTCAGTCCGTGTAACAGGTCAGCTTTCTCAGTTTCTGAGAGTTGTCGGCTGGGTAGATTTCTTATCCATGTGTGCAGTTTGTTGTTGTCCTTGTCTTTGTGGTGGATCAGTTTGGTGAGTGTAGCTTGTGTCCCTTCTTAGTTTTGGTCTTGTGTTGATTGATGGTGATGGCTTGTTATAGGGTTGTAGTCCACTGCTGGTCCATAATGTTTAGATACTGCGATTTTTGGCGCGAACAAACTGGGACAATGTAACCATAGTAGCTCAAGCCAAACATAGACACGCACAGGAATTTCTCGAGACATGGTTCTCCACCCGTAATGCTATCAACAAACATATAGAATTGGACCCCATATACAAACCCATACAGAACAAAACCAGAAATGACACTACTCACCAAAGCGGACCAGACAGTATAAATTCCGAGCGGAGTAGAATAACATCGCTTAATCAGAGGCCTCACTGATGATGTTACCTAGCATGGTGACGAAACGTCTGAATGAAAACAAGCCAGCTCGGCGAGCAAGTCAACAACCTCACCCACACCCAAACTACAAATCTTTGCTAAAACTTGAAATAGTTCTATTCTGCTATGGGGAGCTGTTGGCTTAGTGATAATTTTACCAGGCTCGTAATCCAAAGACCCATATGAAGGCTTTGTTCAGGAAGATGGATTCAAATCCCACATCCCTGTGGTGGAAATCAGATTCATGTATGTGGAACAAAACCATTCTCAGTGACCATGACAGCTGTAATCGATTCTAGCTGTAAAAACATCATCTGGGTTCACAATACCCTTTAGGGTGAGAAATCTGCTGCCGTTACCCTATACATGACTCCAGACCCACAGCGATGTGGTGGGCTCTTCGTTGTAACTGTCCTGCTCAGTTCAGGAAGTGACCTGTGGCTTTGGGAGGGGCACCATGTGGCCTGCATTTCAGGTCTACTGTATGACTGGCCAAAGACACTCTCTGTACTCTCCTGCCCCCACCAGTTTCACTCAGTCAGTCCACTGTGAGCTGCCTGTGTTTCTGAGGTCAGGGAAGTCTGGGACTTCCTTTAATACAAAAAGACTCCGGGACCTTCCCATTTCACCCAATTATATTGGGAGACCGACGTCCTCTGGGGGAATTCCCAGTCCTTCTGACCGGAATGTGAAGTTCAGACCGGATTAGTGCCATTGAGGTGACTCTCAAAGTTGAGTAGTCAGCCACAAAGTCAAACAGCATAGAAACAGACCCTTCAGTCCAACTCATCCACGCCGACCAGATATGCTCAACCAATCTAGTACCATTTGCCAGCATTTGGCCCAAATCCCTCTAAACCCTTCCTACTCATATACCCATCCATATAGTCATAGAGTCATACAGCACGGAAACAAACCCTTGCCAACCAGATACTGGTATTTCTGCAATAACGCATGTTTCATTAACACTAATTGGCTGACGAATAGTAAACGCTGTTTGGATAAAGCAAGCTTTTTACTGTACAGTATAGCGATATTCTATAGCGATTTCCCTATAACGCGATATTCTATGGCTATTTTCTATAGTGCAAAGTCACACAAGAATGCAATTATTGCATTATAGGAGAAATACCTGCATCGTAGATTAATCCAGTCCCATTTTCCAGCATTTAGCCCGTATCCCTCTCAACCCTTCCTCTACCCATCCAGATGCCTTTTAAATGTTGTAATTGTACCAGCCTCTACCACTTCCTCTGGTAGCTCACTTCACACCCGCATCACCCTCTGCATGGAAAAATTCCCCTTCAAGTCCCTTTTAAATCTTTCTCCTTTCACCTTAAACCTATGCCCTCTAGTTTTGGACTCCCCTACCCTCGGGAAAAAAGACCTTGGCTATTCACCCTATCCAGGCCCCTCATGATTTTATAAACCTCTATAAGAAGGTCACCCCTCAGCCTCCGACGCTCCAGGGAAAATATTCCCAGCTTATTCAGCCTCTCCCTGGCAACATTCTTGTAACATATGCATTCTGCGACTCAAATCCTTTAACTGCTCGTGGGTCCGAGCAAGAAAGTGAGAGAGGGAACTGGCGCTGAAGCATCTAAGGTTTCTAAAGCAGTGGGGGACAGGGGTGGGAGTGGGGGGTGGGGAAGGGGGGATGTACTTCAGCTCCCAGATGCCAGTTCATGGACTGCTCAGTGGATGGGGTGGCAGTTTTGATGTATCTACAATGTAGACAGCTCACCTGAGAGCTGCACCACAGCGCTGCGAAGTGGCCACAGTCTACAATGACACTGTGACTGTTGACATGGCAAAGTTCAGAGGGAAATGTTGGCCTGTGAACATACAGATTAGGAGAAGGAACAGCCCCTTCAGCCCCTCGCATCTGCGTCTCCAATCAGTAAGGTCTAATCATGGCCTTGAATCCATTATCACACCCAAACCCTGCTAACCTTGGGCGCCCTGTTAGTCAAGCATCTCTCTATAATGGCGAGTATAATGGCATTCTCCGATACTGCAATGGGAGAAACAGCCAGAAGCTGTAGTGGCAGAAGTAGGCCATTCAACCCATCATGTCTGCTCTGCTATTCAAATGAGATCTGACAATCAACTCTACTTTCCCACCTTTGTCCCCCATCGCCCGCTGTCTGTTACCAATTAAAAATCTGTCCCTGCCTTGAGTATACTTAATGGCCCAGCCTTGACAGCCCTCTGTGGTAAGGAATTCCGCAGATTCACTCCCCTCTGAGAGAAGAAATTCCTCCTCGTCTCTGTCTTCAGTGGGCGACCCCTAATTCTGAGATGATGCATCTGGGTCCCAGCACCACCAGTGACTTACTAACTGGGGTTGAAAGGCAGGATCTCATCACCGCTCCAAAAAAGGAACGGCAGAGACCTCCAGGCAGATTTGCTCCTTTCCTTCCCTGCTCTCTGACTCTTAGCAGTTCAATAGATGTGAGGTTTCAAGCTGCAGTTGGTGTCTAAACATATTCTCTTTGGCAGGGAGTTTACAAACCAGAACCATATGCAAGCACTTCAAGAATACAAACCAGATGAAGTTACACATCAAGACACTTCTGGATTCGGTGCGTACCTCTGTTCTCCGTTTCTTCAGATGTTTCTTGCCTTCCCAATCATCTCAAACTATTCGGCTCATTGGCTCCTGGTCATACAGCACAGAAACAGACCCTTTAGTCCAACTTGTTCATGCCGACCATAGAGTCATAGAGGTTTACAGCATGAGAACTGACCCTTTGGCCCAACTTGCCCATGCCACTCAGTTTTCCCAATTAAACTAATCCCATTTGCCTGTGTTTGGTCCTTATCCTTCCACACCCATCCCATCCATGTCCCTGTCTAAATGTTTCTTAAATGACAAAATTGTACTCACTTCTACCGCTACCTCTGGCAGCCCATTCCAGACACTCACCACCCTCTGTGTGAAACAAATTGTCCCCCTGGACCCTTCGTATCACTTCCCTCTCACCTTAAAGCTATGCCCGTTAGACCTCCCTACCCAGGGGAACAGCTGTTGGCTACCTATTTTATCTATGTCTCTCATGATTTTAGAGACCTTAGAAGGTCACCCCTCAGTCTCCTACACTTCAGGGAAAGAAGTCCCAGCCTATCCAACCTCCCTTTACAACTCAAACCTTACAGTCCAGGAAGCATCCTAGAAAAGCTTTTCTGCACTCTTTCTAGTTTAATAATATCCTTTCTATGGTAGGGTGACCAGAACTGCACGCTATACTCCAAATGTGGCTTCACCAACATCTTATACAGCTGCAGCAAGACATCCCAACTCCTGCACTCAACACTCTGACCGATGAAAGCAAGCATGCTGAAATCCTTCTTCACCACCCTGTCTACCTGTGACTCCACGTTCAAGGAACTATGAACCTGTAGACCGAGATCTCTTTGTTCCATAACACTCCTCAGGGCCCTATCAGTGACTGTGTAAGTCCTGCCTGGTTTGCCTTACCAAAATGCAACTCCTTACATTTATCTAAATTAAACTCCTATCTGCCATTCCTCAGCCCGCTGGCCCAGTTGATCAAGATCTCTCTGCATTCCCAGATAACCTTCTTCACTGTCCGCTATACCACTAATCTTGGTGTCATCTGCAAACTTACTAACCATACCTCCTGAATTCTCATCCAAATCATTGATATAATTGACCAGATTTAAAGTTTTGGCAAAGACCTATAGCTCGGTTTGTGGGTGAGGTTGTTGACTTGCTCGCCGAGCTGGCTTGTTCTCATTCAGACATTTCATCAGTATAAATTCCAAGCAGAGTAGAATAACATTGCTTCATCCGAGGCTCCACTGATGATGTCAACTAGCATGGTGATGAAACATCTGAACAAGAACAAGTCAGCTCGGCGATCAAGTCAACAACCTCATAAATGACCAGATATCATAAGCTGATCTAGTCCCATTTGCCAGCATTTGGCCCATTTCCCTCTAAACCCTTCCTGTCCCCATACAGATGCCTTTTAAATGTTGTATTTGTACCAGCCTCGACCTCTTCCTTTGGTAGCTCATTCCATACACACACCACCCTCTGCGTGAAAAAGTTGTCCCTCAGGCCCCTTTTAAATCTTTCCCCACTCACCTTAAACCTATGCCCTCTAGTTTTGGACTCCCCTACCCTGGAGGAAAAGACCTTGGCTATTCACCCTATCCATGCTCCTCATGATTTTATAAACCTCTATAAGATCAGCCCTCAGGAAAAATAGTCTCAGCCTATTCAGCCTCTCCCTATAGCTCCAACTATGATATATTTGCAAATTGCATAAATCATAAACCACTGGCTAGGCCTAGGCAGGATTACTGTGTCTGCAGAGGGTGGCATATTGGCTCAGTGGTTAGCACTGCTGCCTCACAGCACCAGGGATCCAGGTTCGATCCCACCCTCAGGCAACTGTCTGTGTGCAGTCTGCACATTCTCCGTGTCTGTATGGGTTTCCTCCAGGTGCTTCACTTTCCTCCTATAGGCCAAAGATGTGCAGGTTAGGCTGGATTGGCCATGCTAAATTGCCCCATAGTGTCCAGGGATGTGCGTGTTAGGTGGGCTATAGCCATGGGGAAATGCAGGGTTACAGGGGTGGGGGATGGGTCTGCGTGGGATGCTCTTCAGAGGGTCACTTCCACACTGTAGGGATTCTGTGTACGGTATTTTAGGAAAACCATTAGAATTAGGTTTCACGAGAACACAAAATTGCCATTTCCTGACGCCATCTTAGATACAAAAACTTGAAATTTAAAAAAAAGCCTTAGTGAGGAGATTTACAAAAACAGTGCCTGGGGTACTACGCCAAAGGGCTGGGAAAGCTAATATTCCTCATAGAGCACAGAAGGTTTGGGGGAAATTCAACACAGGCATTCAAAATCAAGAAGAGTAGAAATTGTAACAAGTAGCAAGGGAGTTGGTGAACAGGGGATGGAGGAAATTTGGGAAAAGAACTGGGGTGGAGGGAGTGAGGAGTGCGTTTCCCCCCCTTAAACGCTAAGAGTTCTCGCAGTCTGGTCCACATGAAGGAAAGCAATTTCAACAGGAACATTCAAAAGGGGAATTGAAGAATATCCTAGAAGGAAAGGATAAAAATGACAGGGCAATGGGGCAAGGCAGGAGACATTGACGGTCCAAATGGCTTTCTGCTTCTGATTGCACAGTGAGCAGCAACTTTCCAGCTCCTCCCACTGTTGTCCAACCATGAGGTGTATGAGTGGAAGCCGGCCATTCAGTTCATCAAGTCCACTCTGCTATTCAATGAGACCTGATAATCCTCAACTCTACTTTCCTACCTTTACCCCATAACCCTTGATTCCCTCACCAATTAACAAAACTGTCTACTGCAACCTTGAAATTACTGAACGACCCAGCTTCAACAGCCTCTGTGGTAATTTGGGAGACAAACTGGCCTCAATCCAAAAGTTCTCTCTCCAACCAGCACCAACACTCATAGAGTCATACAGCATGGAAACAGGCCCTTCAGCCCAACATGTCCATGGTGACCAGGTTTCCTAACCTGAACTAGTCCCATTATCCTCTGACACTCCAGGGGAAAAGGTTCCTATTCACCGTATCTATACCCCAAAGCTGCAGATAGATCTAAAACAAAAAAAAACTAAACTCAGAACTCTGAAATGTTGCTATTTTTGCTTATTATTTTCACTTTCTCGTGTAAATGAATAGACAATGTGGAAAGACTGTTTACCCTTTTCCGGTGTTAGGAAAATGTGAACATAACTCTAAATAATTTTGCATTATAAGTTGAAGTCATCTACTGTGTATCAGTTTAATTTTTACGCTCAGTACATTATTTCATTAGCTTGTCATTTTTATGAACAGAATGTGGGAAATGTGGGTTTTTTGTACCATTCAAGGCAAGGTCTCAATTTAAGACTTTTAATAGATAACATTTTTTACTAGTGACCGTAGCTATCAGTCATAAATTTTCATTTACCCTGGCATAGCTGCTCAGAATCAGGAAAGCGCTCGGAGACAAACTAAGACTGATCAATGGGATCCTGGTTTTGGATTCTCATTCCACCAAATGCAACTCCTTCCTTACCTTAGCTCTGTGAGTAGATCTTTTGCCGCAGATACAGACAGTTGTGAGTTCAAGTCAAACTTCAGAAAGTCAGGTTCGTAATCCAGCTTCAGGTCCCAGTGAAGTGCAGTTGGAGTGCTGTCCTTCTGGAGGGGCCCTTATCCTGAGGCCCCTGGCTGTGCTCACGTTAATGTAAAATGCCCCATCGACATGACTTGTGCATGAGTGAGACACCGCCCCCTTGCATCCTCTTTAGCAAATTGATGAGAATTAGGAGATGGCAGTAGGCCATTTGGCCCCTCAAGTGATGCAATACCATTCCAGCTGAGCTGACTGTGTCCTCCTCTTCACTTTCCTGCCTCAGTCCCTCCATAACCCATGCCTCCCCTGTCAATCAAAAATCTGTCTAATTTGGACTGGACTATTTTCAATGTCTTGGCCTCCTTAAGCTCACCAGGCCCTACACCTTTCCCTGTCTGTCACCTCCTCCAGCTCCTACACCCCTCCCTATCTGTCACCTTCTCCAGGCCCTATACCCCCTCCCTATCTCTATCATCCCCTCCAGCCCCTACACCCCCTCTTTATCTCTGTCACCTCCTCCAGCCCCTACTCCCCTCTCTATCTCTGTAACCTCCTCCAGCCCCTACTCCCCTCTCTATCTCTGTTATCTCCTCCAGCCCCTATACCCCCTCCCTATCTCTGTCACCCCCTCCAGCCCTTACACCCCCTCCCTATCTCTGTCACCTCCTCTTGCCCAGAAACCCATTGAGATCTCTGTGCTCCTCCAATTCTGGCCTCTTGAGCAGCTTCTGACGTCCATCATTTCGCAGTTGGTCATGGTGTCTTCAGCTGCCTATAGCTCAGGCTGTGGAATTCCCTCCTTAAGCTTCTCACCTCCCTCTTCAATCAAGTTTTCGGGTCTAGCCGTCCTAGTATCCCCCCCCCCCACAAACAGTGTGTGGCTCAGGGTTAGATTTCGGTTGACCTACATGCCCGTGAAAAATGCCTTGGAATGATTCACTGTGTTCAAGGTGCCGTACAAATGCAGATTGTTGGCTGTGAAAAACAGGGGCCATTTCTTGGGTGAAGAAGCTTCTAAGAGTTTCTTTTGACTTTATCAGGATATCTACAACTTCAGCTGCCCCTGTTGTGGGCAGAGGTTGCTTTGGCAGGAGCTACGCAGACTGGAACTCTTCCCTGAGAGCGATCAAAGACTCTTTGAGGAGAAGATCTCTCAACTGACGGAGCAGGACACCAGATATTGCAAGAAGGTACAAATGGAAAGCCAAATGCTGTAAGAACTTGTCACATTTTGAGATCTCATTCAATCCAAGGGTGAAGGCAGATGATTGTAATCAGAGCTGGTTCAGACAGATCCTAGCTTTTGGATTTGTAGAAAGTTACAATGAAAAGAACTGAAATATCACTGAAAAGAGGGACTTGGTTTAAAGTTTTGGCAAAGATCTGTAGTTCGGGTGTGGATGAGGTTATTGACTTGCTCGCCGAGCTGGCTTGTTCTCGTTCAGACGTTTCGTCACCATGCTAGGTAACATCGTCAGTGGAGCCTCCAGTGAGGCGATGTTATTCTCCTCCGCTTATAATTTATACTGTTTGGTTCGTTACGGCCAGTTGTGTCATTTCCAGTTTTGATCTGTATGGGTTTGTAAATGGGGTCCAGTTCTAGGTGTCTGTTGATTGCATTATGGGTGGAGAACCATGCCTCTAGGAATTCCCGTGCGTGTCTGTGTTTGGCTTGGGCGACTATAGTTTGAGGGACTTGGTACAGAATGTTTCCATCTCGTACTCATCAGGACCTAACTGCAAGTATGCCAAACTTCCAACAGTTACAACAATTTAGACTTCAGGTGAGAAGGATACTGACTGGTCAGAAGTTGACTCTGATTTGACATTGCCATGGAGAAAGAAATGGAGAATATTTCTTTCATTTGCAGAGAAGAGGTCTGAATTGCCATCATCAACTGAGCTGCACTGTGAACTTAATTATCTCAAAATTCGTGTAGTTTTATGGCTGGGAGGGTGGTTTCTGGCATATTTCCGGATTGTTCACCAAGTGCCGCCCAACCATAAGTTCACATCTAACAGGCGACATTGTGATTGTCAGCATGGGTTAGTTTGTCCTACAATGGACACTCAGAGGAACGTGTTGTTTGATCCAAACGGCCAATGGTTGTAATGTGTTCCCCTTTCCAGCACAGAAATGGGCTGTTTGGCCCAACTGACATCTCTGTTCCATACCAAAATATGCTTGACCAAGTTGTGCTGACTCAGCCCTATTTTACCTCGTACTTCCAAGTCTCCGCAATCTCATGGATTCTAAAATCTTACAAACAACCAAGGCCATGCTAACCAGCCTATAGATTCCTGCCCACTGCCTCCCACCGTTCTTAAACAGAGGTGTTACATTTTCCAGTTCCATGGGTGCCTCCCTGACTCCAGTGATTCCTGAAAGATCACCACCAGTGTCTCCACAATCTCCTCAGCTACCTCCTTCAAAACTCTAGTTTCTCTGGTCTGGGTCATTTATCCACATTAAGGCCTTTCAGCTTCTCCAGCACCTCCTCCTTAGTGATGGCTACTACACTCACCTCTGCTCCCTGACTCTGTTGAAGTTCTCATTTGCTACTGGTATCTTCCACCATACAGACTGATGCAAAGTATCCATTCAGTTCCTCTGCCCTTTCTTTGTTCCCCATTACTACTTCTCCAGCCTTACTTTCCAGCAGTCCAATGTCCACTCTTGCCTCTCTGTTATCTTTTAGATACCTAAAAAAAATCTTTCAATCTTCTTTCATTTTACTAGCTATTTTACCCTCACATTTCATCTTCTCCTGCCTTATTGCTTTGTAAGTTAACCTCTTCTGGTTTATAAAGGCTTCCCAATCATCTCACTAATCTTCGCCACATTGTATGCTTTTTCATAGAAGCCCTACACTTTGGAAAAAGGCTATTCAGCCCATCAATTCCACACCTACCCTCTGAAGATCATCCCATCCAGACCCATCCCTACAACCCTGCACTTCCCATGGCTAATCCTCCTAGACTGCACATCAGTGGACGCTATGCACAATTTGGCATGGCCAATCCACCTAACTGTGCATCTTTAGTCTGTGGGACAAAACCAGAGCACCTGTAGGAAACCCACAAAAGACACAGGGAGAATGTGCAAACTCCACAGACAGTTGCCCAAGACTGGAATCGAACTCGGGTTGCTGGTGCTGTGAGGCAGCAGTCCTAACCACTGAGCCACCATGCCTCCCACGGTGTGCAGGTTAGGTGGATTGGTCATGCTGAATTGCCCCATAGTGTCCAGGGATGTGCTGGCTAGGTGGTTTAGCCATGGGGGAATGCAGGGTTACGAGGACAGGGTGGGATGCTCCTCAGAGGGTGGGTGCAGACTCGATGGGCTGAATGGCCTCTTTCTGCACTGTAAAGATTCTATCATTCTTTCCTCAGTGACTTCCTCCGGCTCAAACTCACTCCACGTGGATTCCAACTGAAGTCTCATCCCTCATGCTTTGAATCCTCCCAGGATCATAGATATCTCCGTGATGTTCAACGTTCCATGGACAGCTGCCCTTGCCACATCCTGAGATCCACACTCAGTGCCATGCGGCGCCACATGCACACTCTCGACCCTTCTCTCCAACAGCATCGCAACACACTGGCTCAGGGTTGCACCACTCCACAGTTCCACTTCATCCTCTGGCTCATTCATCGTGCTAACAAGAAACTTTTCTTTTCCTTTCAGGCATCAAGGCCCACAAGATGCAACAACTCATAGATACCCATAGTCCTCTGGAACCTTCCTCTCCTCCCCCCTTCCCTCTGACTCCATCCCCTGTCCCAACCCCACCTCCTGTCGGGTATTCACCATCCCTCCTAACATTCCACGCTCCGACGCTGAACGTTCTGTACTCGGCAAAGGCCTCAGCTTTATTCCTCTGCGTCCCCACCTTAAGGAATTTCGGGCACGACATGACGTCAAACTCTTATTCCGCCGTCTTTGCCTCCATGCTCGTTTCTTTGGACAAGAGTCCCCTCCCTGCCCACAGACTCCTTCGCCCAGTTCCAACACTATCCCTTCCCTGGACTCCTCCTTCTAGCCTTTTACCTGCACTCAATCTGTTCGCTGAGAACTGTCGACGTGTCGACGACCATCTCAATTTCTCTACCCCCCCCCCGCCTCACCTAATCCAAGCTACCTCACTCCAAACAGACTGCACTCCGTGTGCTCAGATCTAACCCTGACCTGCTGATAAGGGTGGTGCTGTTGTAGTCTGGTGCACTGACCTCTACAGTGCAGAGGCTGAGTGCCAGCTCTCAGATACCTCCTCCTATATTCCCCTGGACCATGACCCCACCATGGCACATCAAGCCACTGTATCAACTATGGTAACTGACCTCATTTCATCTGGTGATTTCCCCCCCTCCACTGCTTATAGACACCCCAGCCCTGCACAGCTCAGTCTACCTCCTCCTGAAAATCCACAAATAGGACTGTCCAGGCAGACTCATTGTTTCTGTCTGCTCCTGCCCCACAGAACTAATCTCTTCCTACCTTGACTCAGACTTCTCTTCCCTGGTCCAATCCCTGCTGTGCATCCGTGACTCCTCTGACGCTTTACGCCAGTTTCGGAATTTCCAGTTTGCAGGCTCCAGCCACCTCCTCTTTACCATGGACATGTAATCCCTTCACACATCCATTCCCCACCAGGAGGGTCTCAGGGCTCTCCGCTTCTTCCTGGAGCAAAGGCCTGAACCACCCCACCCACCACCACCCTCCTCCGCTCGTCCTCACCCTCAACAACTTCACTTTCAACTCCTCTCATTTTCTTCAGGTCAGAGGAGTGGCCGTGGGTACCCACAGGGGCCCCAGTTATGCCTGTCTCTTCATGGGTACTTGGAACATTCCTTGTTCCAGTCCTATTCCGGCCCTCACCCACAACTCTTTCTCCAAGATATTGATACCATAGGTGCTGCTTCCTTCTCTCGTCTGGAATTGGAGAAGTTCATCGATTTTGCTTCCAATTTCCACCCTGCCCTCACTTTCACCTGGTCTATCTCTGACTCCTCCCTTCCCTTCCTCGACATCTCTGTTTCCATTTCTAGGGATAGACTGGCCACTAATATCCATGCCACTAATATCCACTATAAACCCACTGACTCCCACAGCTACCTGGACTATATATCCTCACACCCCACTTCCTGTAAAGACTCCATCCCATTCTCCCAGTTCCTCCGTCTCCGTTGTATATATTCAGATGAGGCCAACTTCGACAAGGGAGCCTCTGAAATGTCCATCTTCTTCCTCAACTGAGGATTCCCCAGCTCCGTTGTCAACAGGGCCCTCAACCAAGTCCGAACCATTTCCCGCACTTCCGCCCTCACCCCTTCTCTTCCCTCCCGCAACAGGGATAGGGTTCCCCTTGTCCTTACCTACCATCTCACCAGCATCCACATCCAGAAGATCATCAGACGCCATTTCCACCACCTCCAGCAAGATGCCATCACCGGACACATATTCCCCTCCCCTCCCTTGTCCACACTCCGCAGGGACCATTCCCTCTGGAACACCCTGGCCCACTCTTCCTTCACTCCCATCACTCCTCCCCACAGCCCTACGGCACCTTCCCCTGTAACCGGCAAAGGTGTAATACCTGCCCATTTACCTCCTCCCTCCCCAGTATCCAAGGGCCCAAACATACCTTCCAGGTGAAGCAACACTTAACCTGCACTTCCCAGAATCTGGCCTACTGCATTCGCTGCACACAATGTGGTCTCCTCTACATTGGGGAAATGAAGCGTAGACTGGGTGACCACGTCACAGAACATCTATGTTCTGCTCGCAAAAAAGACCCTGAGCTTCCTGTTGCCTGCCACTTTAAAACACCACCCTGTTCCCTGGCCAACATCTCTGTCTCAGGCTTGCTGCTGTGTTCCGCGAAGCTCAACGCAAGGTGGAAAAACAACACCTCATTTTCCATTTGGGGACTCTGCAGCCCTCTGGGCTCAATATTGAGTTCGATTATTTTAGGGCCTGAACTCTCCCGTGTCCTAGCCCCCTAACCCATACACCAGGCCTCATTATCACATAGCCTGCCATTACACGCTACCTATTGTTAGCCATTAGCTGTTTCCATTAACAACTGCTCCCCCTCCTAGCCAGATTGTTATTTACTCCTTTGTCTGTCCAATGGTTCTTCTCTCTCACTGGGCTCGATCCCCACCTATCATTTTACTCCTTAAACCCTCCTTCCACCCTAACTGCATATAAACCTTCCTAGCTACCATCAGTTCTGAGGAAGGGTCACCAGAAGTGAAATGTTAACTCTGATTTCACAATTGCTGCCAGACCTGCTGAGCTTTTCCACAACTTCTGTTTTTGTTTCTGATTCACAGCATCCGCGGTTCTTTTGGTTTTTATTAGAGTCTCTATGATATCGATTGCAGGGGTCTGGTCGCAGTGCGCAGCGAGGAAAGTAACTAACCGTGCTCTCTTCTTGCCAGTGTCCGAGGTGCAATCGCGTTGTGCAGCGGACGGACCCAGAGGAGCTTTTTGTGGAATGCCCAGCATGCCCAGGGAATATGGGAAAGCCCTACTGGTTCTGCTGGAACTGTCTGAGGAGAAGGAACAGACGGTTGGCTCAAGGAGAGGCCTGCAAGAACAACGACTGCAGCTTGGTGGCGCTGCTGCAGTCATGCCCCACGATCGACAACCCACTGCTGACCGTCCATGGCTGCCCTACGGTCCGGGCATGTCCCAACTGCAAAGTCTTGATCTCCCACATAGAGGGGTGCAAGTATGTCAATTGCGTGAGCTGTGGTCTCTCTTTCTGCTACCGGTGCTTGGAGAAACGCGTCACGTGCTATAATGCCAAACGCGAATGGTACCACGTTGCTCAATGCGTCAAACCCATGGCACCCAGGCAGATGTTTTCTGCCAAACGGTCAACACCAGCCAAGGCAACATAGGCCAAACCGCTTCCATCGCCGATCCTCCATCACAGCACTGTGTACAATCTACAACACGCGCTACAGCGACTCACCCAGGTTCCTCTGACAGCACCTTCCAAAGCCACGACCACTGCCATTCAGAAGGGCAAGGACAGTAGATACATGGGAACACCACCCACCTGCAAATCCTCTTCCAGACCACTCGCTATTGTGATGTTTCATGCCTTTAAGAGGTGCATTCTATCCTGTTTCTCCTGCAGAGGGGTTCTGTCACAACGATGTTGGCTCCCAGTAAGCAGTTTGCAACTAGCCTTGGGTTTCTCTCTTCTAGGTAACACTCCCCTCCTTGATGCATTACAGATCAAAGTTCAGACTCCAGCTCATCAACTCTGAGCCACAGTTCCTCAAGCAACCGACACTTGCTACAGATGTGGTCACAATGAAACTACAGTGGGGTCCAGTAGCTCCCACATGCTGCAGACACAACACATCACCTGATCCTGCACCTCTATTTTGTTTGCTTTGTGTGACTCGAAGTGTTTTGTCCTGGTTTCTTTTAAGAGGGAGATTGTGGTACGGGTGAGGAGTGGTCTATGAGAAGATAAACAACCTGTGAAGCCTTGGGGTGTTTTTTTTAAACTTGAAACAATAGAAGCAGCCTGACTGGGTGTGGTCAAGTTCTCACTGTTCCAGGGATTTTTAGTTTAGCTTTCAGTAGTTGTAGCTGGGGTCTCAGCAGGGTTGGACAGCAGTGAATCTCTCCTGGCTGCTACACTCTCTCTCCCTCAGAACTGTCTTTTGATATTCTTTCCCAGGGTGTTTTTTTTCGTTAGAGTAAGACAAAAAAAAAATCAAGAGTGTGTGACATCAGGTTCACATGGACCTAGGGGATTTTGATTTTAGTTAATTTTTTTCTGGTAGTTCACTGCTGAGGCAGACAGCTAGAGTTCTCTCTGCAGCTACATTGAAGACTTAGAGCGCTTTCCTCTTAGAAATGAGAAGGAGCAGGTTGTTTCTTCTGGACTGGAGAGGGACAGGAGATAGCAAGAACTGTAGATGCTGCAGTCAGGTTCAATACAATGTGGAGCTGGAGGAACACAGCATCAGAGGAGCAGGAAAGTCAACATTTCAGGTTTACACCCATCAGGACGTGAGAACCGTAACTGTTTTGCTGCTTTCCATTCTTGCCAGAGGGTGTGTTTGTGAGATGTTGCCTATATTGGGACAGTTGATGACTAGTGGTTAGATAATACATTATCCTGTTGATTATATCAATAAAGTTGTATTGATTCTTCGTTTGGTTGCATTTTAACTGCATTGTTAGAATAAAGTGTTTTGATTAAATGTTAGTAGTGGACCAATGAAATCATATTGGAGCATGGCAGCTTATACTTGCTTTCAAACAAAGATAAAAGTTAGGGTCTAGGCTATCTCCGTAATATATCTTCATAACATATTTTGGAGGGAGACTGGTTTGGCCTCTAACAACATCATGACTTGAGACTGTATCGCTCTTCCTTCAGTGGTTAAAATCCTGGAACTCCTTAATGGCATCATGTATGTCCCTGCACCACATGGACTGCAGCGGTTCAAGAAGGTTGCTCACCAGCCACCTTCCAAAAGGGCGAGTAAAGATGGGCAATAAGTGCTGGCCCAGCACATCATGTGAAAGAGCTGGAAAAAAAATCCAATCATCGAGACTTGGAAAAAGGAACTGACATAAATTACAATCTTTATCCATTCTTTTTAGCAGAGAGCTGTGGGACTGTTCATTCAATTGCTAAAGTCCACGAGGCTCGACAGTTAACTGCCAAGCTTAACCCAGGAGGGTTGACTCTGATTAGTCAAGTTACCTCTCTAAGAACTATACCTGTCCTGTTGAGTTGAAAAGTGCGGCACAGTATGTGCACGTATCCTTTCTGACTGCATCTTGGTTTCTGCCTTTTACTGGCGTTCATGCAAATTGTCCCTGGTGAGCGCGACGTGAAAAGCTTTGATAAAACGTTATCGGATTTTAGCAACACAGAAACCAAAATATGCAGAATGCAGGAAATCCCAAAGTCAAAACAAAAACCCTGGAATAAAATTCAGGTGACACACAATAAACAGAGCTAATGCTTCAGTGCGAGATGAGCATCTGTCAGAACTGAGAGGACGTAGCAATTTTCAAGCCAATGGAAGAAGTGAGAGTACAGCAGGAACAAAAAGGTGTGTGTTAGGCCGAAGGCCAGTGGAGATTAAACAATAAAAGACTACATCCTGCAAAAGGCAAAGAGAGTGGAAACAGATAGAGAAAAGATTTCATCCAAATGCAGTGTAACTGGCAACATAAAACAGAGTAATTAGTCAGAAAGGTAAAATGGCCAATAAAAAAGCTGTTAGCTGCCCACATGTTCAGACAAGGCAAGGGTTACCTCAACATGCGTCCCCACAAATAACAGGTCAGAGGCTGGGAATTCTGCAGTGAGTAACTCACCTCCTGACTCCCCAAAGCGTGTCCACCATCTACAAGGCACAAGTCAGGAGTGTGATGGAATACTCCCACTTGCCTGGATGGGGGCAGCCCCAACAACACTCAAGAAGCTTGACACCATCCAGGACAATTGGCACCACATCCACTCCCTCCACCATCAACGCTCAGTCGCAGCAGTGTGTACTATCTACAAGATGCACTGCAGACATTCACCAAAGATCCTTAGACAGCACCTTCCAAGCCCACGACCACTTCCATCTAGAAGGACAAGGGTAACGCATACATGGGAACACCACCCCCTGCAAGTTCAAGCCACTCACCATCCCGACCTGGAAATATATCGGCTGTTCCTTCAGTGTCACTGGGTCAAAATCCTGGAATTCCCTCTCGTGGTGGGAGCACCTGCATAAAAATCCACTGCGGTGGTTCAAGACAGCGCCTCACCATCTCAAAGGACAATCAGGGATGGGAAACAAATATTGGCCCAGCTGGTAACACCCATGCCCCATGAATGAATAAAGGAAAATCTAGTCAATGCGACGTGGAACAAGGAACTGACATAACTTTCAAATGTTCAATTACAGCCAGCACTTCACCCAGCTGTCATTGGTGCAGACCTGTGGGATGGGAGAGCGGGGTGAGGGCAGTGCCAGGGGAGGGGGCATTGCCAGTGGGAAGGGAGGTAGGCAGTGCCATGGTGGAGGGGAGGGCGTAGTGCCATGGTGGAGGGGAGGGCGTAGTGCCA